TCCTTTCAATTATTTTTTAAATTCTTCTTACTATTAAAAAGAGCAGAATATGATTTAAGAAACTATAATTAAGAAACTATAAGAAAAGTGCGATATATTTTTAGATAATAAATTTTAAAGAGATCATAAATAAATCTATAAAAGTTATCCGCGTATTAAAAAAAATTTTCCTATATATATGCTTTTGTTCGTGTGTTTATTCTTGGTAATGCATTTAAAACTGTGTGTGTACAAAGTATACTTTTAATCTATTAAATTGTAAATATTGCTTGGAAAACTGGCGATTGTATATACCGACAAATCATGAACTATGAAGTCCTCTAACGTTGAAGTGAATGAAGATGGCGTAATGAAGACGGGCTCCACAAAAATTTCGGATCTCTCGAGCTTCTCTCTAAGCTCGAGGAGAACAATAGGAAAATGCGCGTACGTACGTATTTACTATTTGCCCGATTTGCCGCTTGATTAAAATTACGGCGCAAGACGGCCGTCGAACGGTGGAGTAAATATTTTATTTGTACGTGATATAATATCGAGCGGGATTATATATAGCGAGCGTCACACAACACGAACATGAATCCTGCGGAAGCCGAAACTATTGCTGACCTGGTTCAGAATATGATTATTTCTCTGTGCGGCGAACAAAAGCCAGGTTAGTTTTCCCAAAGTTGTACCACTGCCGAAGATTTTATATTCAGAAAAATTCACGATATGTCATTTCGCGCGAATTAATCGCAGCGTTATTTATTTTAAACAATGCAACTAGGCGTTGTTAATGTCTCGTCGTATTTCTGTTAATAAAGCAACGTTTGCACCGTACTACGATTGTATTGTATGATAAGCTTTTTAAAAGTATATATCGTATAACCATTTTAAATATATTTGAAGAGAGTTAGAGTAAGAATCTCTGGCGGACGTTTTTCATAAAATCTGATTATGCGTTATTAATATGCTTCAATAAACGAGTCTACTCAAAAAAGTCGTTGCTCGCGTCTGATTTAACGAGGAACGTCGAATGACAGATGTAAAACGTCCTGAGACTCCTGAAAATTTAATTAGCTCCGAGGTGGCGCACTTTGTCTCTGCCATATCTGATGCTCTTTAAATCGCTTTAAATCCAGACGCGAGTAGTGATAATCTTTTTGAACAGATTAGAATTCTGGTGTACATACATAGTGCCCTGGAATTGTTGATTTAACAGTTCAGATCTTTTAGGACATTTTTCACAAGTAACACATAATAACACATAATTTTGCAAATATCACCTAACATGTGATAACATAACATAATAAAGATATGCGATACACAAGCTACAACATATTTTTCATGTCTTTTAGAGTCGATCAGAAGATTTATGCGTTTTTCCCTTGGCTTATTGTCGTCTACTCAAGGCATAGAAACATTGAGAGAGGATGAAGTGACTGTAGCAACGTATATAAAGAGTAAATTATCGCCACGTGATGCAGTGCAGTTTGATAAGCTGCACAATGATTTGAAAGATGGGGTACAAAATCTCCTGGTTTAAATCTTTCCATGTCTTTTGTTTCAATCGTATTCATTCATGTCTACTGTTTTGGATAAATGTTTTTATATCAATCTTCTTTCTTTCATTAGCCACTGAAGAATCGTACGAGCGTTCTAATATTCCTACTGAACATGGGCCAGTCGGTGGAACAAATGAAGGACAAAATCTTTTCGTTTCCAGATATGAAATCGCAGTTAAGCCCAGTCGCGTCCACTAGTGGTAAGATATCAATACAATCGACATTTGTCAAAGTATTATCTAATCGTTTCTTATATTTAGGACAATCGTCACAAACGTTATATTCTCAAGCACAAGTTGTATCGTTAAATACCACAGAGACAAATTCGAAAGGATTATTAACGAATCCAAGTAAAATATTCAACGAGGAATGCGTTTCAGAAGATGTACTAGTCCAGGACTTGATATATTCCTTTCAAAGTGTCGAAGGGAAAATTTTAAAGTTAGATTCCAGCTATGGCTTTCAGATAGACCCCGTAGCAAAAATTAATAGATCACAAAAACAAGCTGTTTTAAGACTGAGCGAACTGGGATACCTGCATAGCGTAGTACGAAAAGGATTAGAGAGAATGTCTGTTGCTGGTGCAGGCAGAGTTACCGATAGTTTCGTTGCTGCGTTACATAAGGAACTGTCAGAATATTACAGATTCATAGCCATAATGCAAGAAGAGGTGAATAGGTAAGAAATTAAACATATAACAATATCGTATTTCAAAGATATAAGCTCCACAAAGTTGCATTGCTTCATAAATCCAATAACGATATTTTTCTTGCTTGAAATACTCTTGAAGAATATTTACGATATAATATTGTTTATATTATAAAATAATATAAGTGTAACAATTGTGAAACAGATCACAAAATCAAATGATTACATATGGAGTTACATTGTCCCATTTACATCTTTGGGCATGCGATCCGTTAGAAACTCTAAAGTGGTTAGCGAGTATAGTAAGAGCTTGCCAAGGCCAGAAAGGTGGTGCATTAGCATCTACTGTTTACGAGTTCAGCTATCACGGGGATGTCATTGTGAAAAATTTAGTCAAAAGAGTTTTGGAAAGTGTTTGCAATCCCCTGTACAACATGTTAATGAGATGGATCGCTGATGGGGAGCTGGACGATCCGTACAAGGAGTTTTTTATTCAAGCGTGCAATGATGTTAGTGGCGACAGAATGTGGCATGAGAAATATCAAGTGAGAAATTCAATGGTGCCATCCTTCCTTAGTAAAGCACAAGCGAGGAAGATTCTAGGAACAGGAAAAAATATTAATTTCTTACGTGAAGTTTGTAAAGACTTTTCACCGTGGCAAGATAGACACGCAGATATGTTTAGGAATAGTGATGAGGAATATAATGGTTAGTAATAATGGATAGATGATTATTGTTACAAGATGATTTTAATTTATCGTTTTTCTCGTTAATACATTGAAAATATTTGTAAGTTATAAAAATTTTGGCTAATGTCAATTAGATTGTTATAGCTTCGTCAAACTTGGAAGGATATTTAATTCTTATATTATTTATTTTCTAGTTGAAATCTTTTTCGATATGGATCCAGACGGTCGTCTGCAAACTATGATGGATGCTGCTTATAAAGAAACTTCAACAAGAGTTGTTGAAATATTGACAAAACAATATCATCTGATGGATCATTTGCAGGGGATTAAGGGATATCTCTTGCTTGGTCAAGGCCACTTTATTCAACATCTTATGCACTTATTAGAGTAAGAATATTTCTTGTTAATGCAGTTAATAGTATTAATTGTATTAATATTTTTGCGTTTTAGCATGCGTATTCCAGATCTAAGAAATTGTCTCGATTATACATTTTAGGCCTGAATTAGCCAAACCTGCAAGTTCTTTATATCCTCATAACATGACATCTATACTTGAAACTGCAATAAGAGCAACCAGCACAAAGTTAGATGATTTAGATGTGCAAAAACGTTTAGATGTCAGACTATTAGCCCCTTCAGAAAATGAAACAGGATGGGACGTCTTTATTCTAGATTATAATGTTGATGGACCTATAGGAACGGTAATAAATACATTAATTGCAATATTTAATCTTTATGTTAAATTAACCTAATGAATCATGGTCAATAATTTATCAGATTTTGGAGCCATGCAGACAGACGTATCAAACGGTCTTCTTTGCTTTATGGAAAGCAAAGAGAATGGAGTCGATTTTATCTGCTATTTGGAAGCAACAGACAACGTCAGCGAAAATGTTTAGAAAAATGCCGGAAGTATTGCCCATCCAGAATCATATTCATTTAATTACTAGTAGTATGGTTCATTTGGTCCATCAAATGCAATATTATTTTTTATTTGAGGTAAGACCGTGTCACATTAAAAGCTATTATTAATGATCAAAGAACCACCATTAATTTAATAATGGGCAATTTAATGAATGGGAACTGTTATGTATTGCATATTAACAAATAAAAAACTTATATTAACTAAAGGTAATCGAATGTTCTTGGGATACATTTGCAAAGCAACTTCTCCAGGCATCATCTCTTGATGATATAATTGCAGCTCATAGTCATTTTGTTGATTCTGTACGGCATGGTACATTATTGGATGAAAAATCGCAAGTGAGTATTAGATCATATTTATGACAATATATATGTATACGAATGCACATTTTTATTACAAATGCACACTATTTCCGATGTTACAGGAACTTATGGACCACTTACGCTCAGTCTACAGTCCAATACTAGATCTCCAAAATCTCGAGGAATCTTTCCTTGCGCATGCTACACAGGAATATGAGGCAAGATTAAGTGCCGATAATTTTGAGCAGGAACAAACGAAAAAATGGGGTCGTACAAATAAAAAAGATCAAGAAATTGCAGAAAAAGAGGCAGCATTTTCAAAATATCTGAATACACTTTCAATACAGTTGAGACTACTTTCGAGAACCTATCAGGTAATAATCAAATGGAGTATTAATTCTGTTCTTATAAGGCTGCAGTCCGATATTCGCTGTCAGTACTGAAAATCTATATTTTTCTATATTTTATGTCACGTATACTATGGATTTTCAGTACTAACAGTTGCTGACAGTAAATATTGGAATGCAGCCAAAATATCGTCATTATTTTCCTATCCACATGATTCTTTTGTCGAAATAGAGGAATAATTTATATATTATTCCTTAAAATAAAATGTAAAGAGCAATTGCTTTTTTTTTCAAGTGTATCTTTTCTCAAAAAAAGAAAAATATGTTTATTTCATTTTTAAAAGATAAATATATTCTTTCTTTCAGGATCGTGTGAAGAAATTTCTATTAATGCTTGCTTCCGCTGAAGATGTGTCGCTGCAGTTACTTAGTGTACGATTAGATTTTAATGAATACTACAAGAGTAAAGATAGCCGACTAGTTGTGCCATTAACATATCAACATCGCAGACAAAGTGATCAGACTTTCTTTGGATGCAAGTGACAATTGGCAGCAGAAAATTTATTTGAGACCTTTAACGATTCAAGTTACCTTTCAAATAAATGCTGTACTGAGCAGAATCCATCTGACGTTAATAGTAAGGATACAAGCATATTTGATTTTTCCAACAATCGCCCTTCATTTTGTTCTTTATATCGACATCATGATACTACCAATTTTTTTTATAGACCACACTCATCCAAAATGACGACAGATGTCAATGACTCTGTCGTTTTGCACAAAAAAAGATGTAGAACCAATTTGAGAAACGCTGAGCTAAGTAAACGTACGTTTAGAATATTTTTGGAAAAACAGATACTGTCACATGTGGAGATAGAAATTCAGAAAAACACACAAGAGCCACAAACTCCGTTAACACCCAATTTTAATTTTTACGAAAGCGACTTTGCTTTAAGCAAAATACGATTAACGCTTTCTCCGTTTCAAACAACCATATCGGAAAAGAAGTCATCTGTAAAAAATAATTTAACTTTACCAAGTTTAGAAGCTAAATTGTGTAATTCTAGCAATAGTGCTATAAAAATCACTAATGCAATTGTGAATCGTGAAAATGATTCTGAAATTAATGTGTATGAGAATCCTATTCAAGACAAATCAAAAGTTTCCACTTATACTGCACCTGCGTCTAATCAAAATACCTCAAATCTTAAAATAGCAGTTGATAAGCCATCCAACTATTCGTCGATATATGTTAATAGTCCAGAATGGTTTCAAGATAACGAGACTGTATCAGTTCATGGATCTCTATTAAGTGAAACTATTTCGGACATTAGCGCATGTAATTCAGATTTAAGAAGAAATACCAATCGCAAACGGTATCGTTGGAAACGTATACTTTTTTGTTGTGTTAATTGAGTTCGACATTTGTATGTTACCAACAATCAAAAAAAATATTTGAGATAGAGAAATCTATCTCTAAAATTTATATATTTTCTTATACTGAATTAATAATTCACGATATTGATATTAACTATATCGATAAACGTTGACTTATATGAGATACATTGCTTTTAATTTTTACTATTTTATGCACTGTTTGCTGTATTTCTACAAAGTTTTAGTGTCTAAGATTTTGTGATTATTAGAAAATTATATACAAAATATAATCCATAAGCTATCCTCAGCAAATTTCAGTAACTGCAAAGAAGCTTAAAACTTATATTTTTCACCATAGAATAGAATATTGATCAAATAGTACAAAGTAGTCTTTTTCTGCCGTGTTTAACTATGAATAAGAGTATTATTTTTACTTTTCTATTGCAATCTATATTTTTGAGATAATTAGTTACATTATTTTTATTATCTACGAAAAAAATTTCATACTTTTTATTTTTATTAGATATACATATATTGATATACATTTTAGTTTTGCAGACTTCTTATTATTAGATATAAGTAGACGTACACACATTCTCTTTAAGTTGTACACATACGCTTCATATAGACTGTATACAATAAGTCATCATATTTAATTCCTTGCCATATTAGAAAATTAATGCACTTCGGAAAACATAAGCTATTTTTATATTATTATTGAAATTGTGTTGCTATGTATTTAATATTTGTAATAAATTCAGAATTTATTATAAATTGTATTATCTTTTTCACTCAACTGCAACGTTAAGCAACATAAAATGCAAGTTGTTATTTAGATTTAAATCATTAAATAGGACAAAGTAACAAATTAAGTATAATCCTAGTATGTTTCCCATTATTATATTTAATATTGAATAAATTGTATAATACAGTTCTAATAAAATCCTGAATAAATACTGAATCTTTTTTAAATTAGAAAAAAATTATCAGTTTTATAAATAGTATCTATATGTATTTAAAAAATAAATTTCTTTCAGTACTTAAATAAAATAAAATAAATATACCTATACACACACATAGGTATGTATATAGGTCGGAAAAGAGATAGAAGAATGATTGACGAACAAAGTCCAAAAATATTACTTACTCATATTATTATATTACATTACATGTTTCTTTTACACAATGGACAAATATATTAAATGTGTATATTTTCTGTTAATCACTACTTTTATAGAAGTTCATAATACATCAGATTTGGTTTATTTATTAGTTGCAGAAAATATAATAAATTAATTTTTGAATTGTAACGGCATCCAAGAGAGAGAAGGCCATGGATATGTCGTAGGTAATTGCATACAATTGAAGCCTTCAAACTTGATAATCTCTACGCTTGAAATGCCATTGTGTATACTCATATAATCAGCTGGATTATTATTTGACACATGCGAATGCTGTTGTAAACCCTCAGGAATTTGTAAATTATTGATGACGGGAGGCTTCTGATTGTAGAAACCATAATAAGAACGATCACCTATAAAGAAGAATTTTTCAGTCTCTTTCGTATCTTATAATTGATAACATTATTTCAAATATCTTTTGTGTTTTGCATAGTTAGAGAATAATGATAAAAGATTAATTTCTCAAAATCGAACTTAAAATCTTTGAAGTTTGAAAACGTTTTTTCAATGATTTTACTAACGTATTGTTGATTAGCTCGATTGATTTATTAATTAGAATTATCAAATAAGAAAGCAATAATTAATATATTTAGAACATTAATAACCACTCGGTATAATAAGTATAATGGACAATAAATAAAGCAAGATAAAGTTTCTATTTTTTATCGCTAAAGTATTATTACTACCATGTGATTTCATGTGATGGTGTAAGGCGCCAAGTTTGCAAAATCCCCTGTTACAGACGGGACAACGTAAGGGCCAATTACCGGTGTGAGAATATCCATGAGCCCTTAAATCACCGGGAGTTGGAAAGGATCGTCCACATTTATCACACTTGTGTGGTTTTTCCTGCATTTTAAATTATACATATATATTATAGATACACATTACTAACATGCACTTTTTGCAGTGTATATTTTTTACGTATAATTTCTATTGACAGTTACCGTATAAACGTCTGATAATTAGAATTATCTTTCTTTTTTACTCTAGGGAAAGATGATTCTTACAACTCGATTTATTCTATATTAAACTGCCTTGTCATACTCCAAGTCGTACTACTTATTAAACTAAAAAAAAAATACCTTATAATGCGTCATGCGGTGGTAATACAAATTCGACGATGCTGTAAAACGCTTTCCGCACATTGGACATTCATGAGGACGTTCACCAGTATGAATCCTAACGTGAGTATTCAATGAGCTGCTCGTGCTAAACATCTTCCCACATATTGCGCAACCATGTGGCTTTTCGCCTGAGAATAGTTTTAAAAAAATATAAACTGTAATGTTACCTGCAAATCTTTTCTGTGTTTACATCATCTCATATGTTAGATGTATAGATAATTTCTAGTATAGATACTAATATGTTCATTATATTAAAAATTCGAAATGTAAAATAATTCATAATAGACTAAATAGACTAAATTTGTAAAAAGAATTATAGAGAAATTTCTTTTCATATAATCTTTTCCGCTGCACGAAATCTAAATTTATTGCTTCCTCATAGAGCAAGCTTTGTTTAAGCTTCAAACAAGTTTTTGCACAATGATATTTTACATCAAAACTTTTTAAAAATCTTTTTAAACTTTTTAAAAAACTTTTTAAATTTTAGAAATAAATCCTGTTTCAAATTTTATTAACTATTAATAAATAATAATTATGACATTTAGTGTTGTTTATCATAAATAATGGTGTATTATTCAGGATTCTAAAGAAATGTTGTATATAAGACGTGATTATCCCATTATAGTTTGAATTTTTTTAATGCCTTATTTAATGTTTCTAAAAAATATGTATTATATGTATAATGTATAATATTTATTTTTTTATTGAAAAATTGCGTTATTTTAATTTTATTTATAATTAATAATGATCAATTTTGGGACTTTAGAGAAAGAAAGAAATGTAAATCAAAGGGAGTAAAGCTCATATGGATTTTTAATCCCGATAATTCATAAAAGGAAGAATTCATAAAGGAAAAGATCCATAAATTCTTTACATATTTTTCTCAAATTTACCTGTGTGCGTTCGCAGGTGTCTTTTTAAAAGGGAAGGTCTGTCAAAACTTTTACCACAAGTTTGACAGGGAAGACGTCGTTGAAATTTCAAAGTACTAATAACATCAGTTTTCCATGCAGTCCCATGTCTACTCAAGTCCAAGGGTGCATTCTGTGTTACGTTCCATACTATAAACATATTTACGCAATTAATTACATTATAATTATATGATATTAGACTTCTAGTATATGCTTGTAATTTTTTGAGAAGAGAACAAATTTTGATGTTTATAATAATGCTTTCAAATACAGTACTTTTGTAACGAATTTACACATTACGATTTTATTGAAAATCTCTGGTATCACTTTAATAACTAATGAAACAAGGAATGTTTTTTTTTAATATGTTATAGTTTTCAAAAAACAAAGATATTTCTTAAAGATAAATTTATTATCTTATTATCCATTTCCACGTATTCTTGCATGCTGTTGTAATTTTTTATCTGTACAACAACTCAATAATAAATAATGTAACTCAAAAATAAATATTCTACACTTACCGGACATTACGATAATTTGCTGTTATCAATAACTTGTCAAGTTGCACGAGCAATTGAGTTTAGGAACAAATAAATGAGTTCGAATTGCACGGTTCTTCACACGCGTAACATGTTACTACTTCGGACAGATTAAACACGACAGATTAAGGGTAAGAAACGGTGCAACCGCAAACGACCCTCCGGCGCATGTCGAAGGCGGCGTTTTCGCAAAGGGCGGAGTTTGATCGTCGTAATATGCTTTGCAATTGTCTGTGCGTGGTATATACATACACCTCGAAACTCCTTATAACATCATTTTCGTTACATGTAGAGATAACGCAACGAGATAACAGAAAAATGTCACATTAAATTATAGCATTTGATCCAACTCAAACTCACTCCAGTCGAAAACGCTATTAGAAAGAGTATAATTTTTATGCTTCTCATCATTCGCATAAAAATCCGTTTTATATAGGCGAAAACTTTTTTGTCTTCAGAAAGATCTGGCATCAACATCGACTGTTATAAAAGCCGAAGGGCAAGGCGCAAAATCTTCGAATCTTAGATTAATACATAAAAACCGCTTGAATTTTATAATATAAAACATTCTATGTTTCAATGCTTTGCCGTGACTTTCAGTTTCCGAGATACTATTTCCACATTATACTGTTAATACTGGCGCCGTCCGGTATTACGATAAGAGATACAATACAAGTTGCGCGTAACGCAGCAAGACAAGGGTACACAAAATAGACTCGTTCAATAATTTCTTTTATAAGAGATCGTTTATCACATAATAAAAATTATGGAATATGCTGATTAAATTTTTTCTACATAAATTTAAGCACAAAGTGCCTGATCTCAGATTAGACCATCTATAAAATATTTTTTTATGCAATTTGGAAATTTTAGAAATGCGCACCTAGAAGATCATTTAATATCATACGAATCTCTTTGTAAATCATAAAATCCTCTATGAAAAAAACATAAATCTTTTTGTATAATTTCATCCAATTACTATTTTCATTGTGTTTCGTTAATAGTTATTTTGTCAATAGTGTACATATAAATATTTTATGTGAATAGCGATTTAAATCTAAGACGCAATAAGTCTGATTTGCAAGAAAAGATACTTCCATAACTGCGATGTCTATGTTGACATTGAACAAAGATATTCCTCGTTGATTATATATTTATAAAGTTGTCCGCGCGTTCCTCGAGATCCTTTTGTTTGTAAGATTTGTACCATGCAGGCAACAATATGTTACATATACGCGTCGATATTAGATCGTGAAATAGACTCTATCATACAAATAAAGCTTATGAAGCAGGTAGCCGGTCATGCTTTGTCATCGTACTCATTATTATCTACACAGTATTCGCCTGGAAGCACTGGCGCGAAAGAGGAGGTGAGATAATTCGTCGTGTGGCATCGGGCCATCGGACGTCCTGCCGTGCGAAACCCTCATTTGTCAACGCGGAGGATATTAAAGCCATTGAATGCCCCGCAGGATCTTTACAAATCGGTTCTTCATCGACCATAGGCAACAATGTGCATATTTTTGCTGTGTAGCGGTGTAGTATTATCGAAACCGATCGATTTTCCCGTAGCGTATAAACTACCGTTAAACGTTCCCGAGTCTTTTCACGGCTCAGGTATTCGGATGACGCGTTCTCGAAACAGTGAAACCTTCGACTGGCCGAATAATATAAATGTAAAGCTTCTTTCTCAGATTGTTAATCCTATAATCCTGTAATATTCTAAGATTTTTTTTTTCAAGGAAATAAGATTCCTTTCAGTTTGTCAAAGAATCTTAGAACTTCGAAAAAACGTGAGGTGGTGATATTCTATTTATATAGAAAGAGATAAGTTCTTTTACAGACACAGAACGCTTCGTTTTGAAATATGTTCGTATTAAAAATTTGTTTGTACTTCGATTAACAATATATCCCAGATATATTTCAGATAATATAAAACCCATTTTTATTTCCAAATCCTCGATAATGTATTTATTTATTTCAACGCTCCACTTTCTCTTACACTGTTTGTATTTAAAGTAAAATTAGAATTAAAATATTAAAAGTGTCTTTTTTATTATATTTAAGTAACTCGTGTGCAATTAATTTAATTTTATGTGCGTGTGTTATATCATAATTATCGTTTATATTTATAAGATTATGCAACTACACATTAATTGTTATATTTATTAGAAGAACATTAGGGAACAAAGTAAACGATTTATTTTACGCTCCTTTACGTTTAAAAATGTCTCGTTAAATTCTTTATATTTTATGAACGTGCTTTGAATGTGAGAGAAAAAAAGTCTATTGGAAACATTTTCCGCGCATTTATTTTTAATGTTTAAAAATATTCTAGAAGTGTCGTTGTAGTAATAGATAGCTTAAAAGAGAAACGGTGTGAACGGCGATGATGGTTCCAGCTAAAAAAGGACTGGTCGTTTGAAACGAGGAATGTGATATTTCAAGATATTCTATTATTTTGTATTAAAAGCGTATACGTGATCCGATAATACTCCTACAGTCACACTTAATTAAATAAATCCTGAATTAGATTCATCCCAGATTCGGTACAGATTGGAACTTCATCTTTCTCGTTTGCGACACATATTCCAATTCCAATATGAT